TAGTCTGAAAAGACACTTGTTTCCCCAACTGCTTTCACTAGAAGAGTATAATACCAGGGTTTGCACAGGCTTGGAAAAGCCTGAAATGTGAATATCATGTTACCCTAAAGAGACCCAACATTTGTTTAAACCTTGAAAATGTCCTCATTGACAGTTCTTTGCCCTAAAAAGGCCCCCATTTCTCAAAACCTGTCAAATTAGGATCTTACAGGAAACTAATACATATAGTATGACCAGAAATTATTGAGAATTTTAGGAATATATTTAATTGGATTTCTAGTATAAACAACCTTGACCAGCTATCAAGTGCTTGGTTTCATTCAAGAGAGACTACTCCGTTAATCCTTTTTTCATTAGTTTGTGAAGAGTTATCCCCCTTTGTTTACATGCTAGCAGACGACATTTTCAGTGATCCTCAGTCTGGGTGATTTAGAGAAATGGAAGTTGATTTTAGAGTATTATAACAAGGACATCAGATCAGCTAAAGTGATTTCAAGTAGAACAGGCATCCCTTTGTCCACTGTTTCGTGTTTTGAAAAATATTGCAAATATATTGCACCAGGGAGGCGCAGGTAGGCCCAGAAAATTGACTGTCGGTGACAGGAGGCGGCTTGGTATTCTTGTTTCTAAAAAACAAACGAAGGAGTTTAGAAAACTTAAGGCTGGATATGATTAATAGAGGAACTGTGGCTGTCTGTAAGGGGACAATGTGATTTTCTCAGATGAAAGTTCTGTGTGGCTGTTTCTTAATACACCGAAATTCTGGACCAAACAAACTGAAAAACCTTTGTATCAGCGCCCAAAGTACAGTCCGAAATTTAACGTGTGGGGTGGCATATCTGTGTTAGGGGCAACGCCCCTCTGTGTATTTGAAGGGAATATGAACAGTGAGCAGTACACAGATATTCTCGTGGGACATTTACTTCCATCTGCTCACCTGTTCTATGGAAATGTTTGGCTTTTCCAGCAGGACAACGACCCAAAACATCGTTCAAAGCATTCACAGGCCTGGTTTCGCACCCAAAATATGACATTATTAGATTGGCCAAGCTATAGCCCTGACCTAAGTTCAATAGAAAATGTTTTGGGACTTATGAATGAGTGAGTGAGTTAATATTTAACGTCACATGTGCAATATTTCAGCTATATCGTGACGAGAACATTTGATATTGAAATGAAATATATGTATATTATAAAAACCTGCCGACGAAGGACAGTAAAACAACTAGAATATCACAGATATGTATGTAAAACTAGTAATTAAATTTAAAACGTTTTAACTATAGGGGAAAAACAATACAGTATAAAAATGGGCTATAAATCGCCAATAACTGAAGGTAGATCACCATACCAGGGACCATGGGGACTTACATTACTTTTGCTACCTGCATGGACCCTAGTTGGATTTACACCATCCCTTCAGCCATTGGCAACAGAAGAGAAATCTAGCCATAAATTAAAAGCACACACATTCTACGATTAAATACGTGGCAAGCCTAAGTTTACTCTAAATGTGTTGGGACTTACGTACCCTCTCAGGAGGGGACTTATGAAGGAAAGTGTCAATAAGGAAAATGTGACAAATATTGCTGAAATGAAAGAAGTGGTGGTCCGATAATGGGACAGCATGGACCACGACTTTCTAACTTCTTTGATCAGTAGTATGCCCCGCCACATTGAAGCCTGCATTGCTGCCCATGGTGACTTGACAAAATAATAACTGTTCACCTGTCTTTGAATCTGGAGTTATGTTCTGCTAATATTCACATTTAATACGTGAGTTAATGAGTGAAAAAAATATAAAAAATTACAATCTTAAATTCTCAATAATTTCTGGTTGTACTGTAATAGAAAAACTTTGCAATGACAGTGAGTGTTACTTAATCTGCATCACAAAGCAAAACTTAACCAGTGCAGTTTTATTTCCATCTGATGGAGGGACGGTGGGGAGGCCTAGTGGTTAAACACTCACTCACTCACTCACTCACTCACTCACTCACTCACTATAAAATATACGGAAATAAGAATAAAACTATAAAAAATACGGACTGCAAATAATGTGTAATGCCCTCTCTGATCTAATTCCCCAGTGAAAAACTGACTTTATGCCTGAATAAACTGAACCTGAAATTGTTGTACAAATGTGTTTATATTTGAACATATACAACATTGCCCATGCTAATTTGTTTATAAAACGTCTGTAAATGATCAAATCTTTGGCATTATTACCTCTCTATGGATTATATTTCCTATGGAAATAAGTCTCCTACTCAAAGAGTAGGTGCAAAAAGTGTTTGCATTAATCCAGAAAAAGTTCACTGAAACATGTTTGTAACTTACAGCTTTATAGTTCATGTAATTGATTTAACAAGATCTTATCCATAAGTACTGTTTTAAACCCAATGTTATATAATTACGTAGATGATGTACATGGCATCCATGGATGGAACCTGTATAAACTCTCATGTTTCTTACATAACATACAAGCTGCAGGTAATGGTGCCTGTGGGCAGCCACCTCCCTAATGTGCAGCTCCGTACCCGTGGTTCACACATGTCCTGATAGACACCCTTCAGTGATGCTGCCTCTCCATCTACCTACGTTCAATTGTTCTACCTAGCCCAAGGCCACCCCAGCAGCCAGTGTGTGTCATATAATCTCACTTACACCTGTAATGGAAATGGTGAGATATTTGAATGACAAAGGCCGAGTTTCCGAGCAGTGAGTGACAGTACTGGGCATCAGCTGATAGGCTGGCTGTGTTGAACATACCCAGCCACTGAGGGACCACTCCGTCCGGCCGGCTCAAGGAACCACCTGTACGTACAGCTACATCACTTTGTTACTTTGGAGCTTGGCATCATCTCACTCCAGTCATGCCAAAGTAAGTCAGTTTACTTGTCTACGTTTATGTTAGTACTATATCTAGTATAATGATTATTGTGAAAATTAACAATGTAAAAGAAATTAATTAGATCTTTAACTTTTGAACATAGGTGTAACAATTAGAACAGGTGTTTGAAACAACAGAAATACACTCATTAAACTGATATATTATTGTGAGAATGGTTTTTGCCACTTTTTTATACTCGAGGTATTCTTAAATGTTTGTATTAATTATGGGATCAGGTGAAGTTTGGGGGATGGTATGGGAAGGTGTCTTCTCCAAGGTTGTGTTAAGTAGTTCAAGTAGGGACTGGGGCCACCGTCAGGGCCACCATCACAGTCACCTGTGTACACACGTTCATCAGCTGCTGAAGCCAATAACCAATTGACCACCACAGTCCAGCAACTGACCGCTGTCCAATCAATCACAAATAGGTACCATCCGCTAGCTTAAGGTACCATATTTTCTAGAATATTTTCCACACACCCCTCCAGGGAAGGCAGTATGTTTTTGTATATTTTTTAAAAGTATTATGCATAGTACAAAATAGGGCTGCTCAATATAACCGATTTACCGGTTCAGACATGAAAACGATACGTATTGCGATACGCTGATCGAAAACTGGTATTTTGACTTGCATTCGGTAAACTTCGTAACACTCGGAAATGTTCGGATATGTCCTTGTTTCATTTGTGCCAAATATTATTCACATTTTTATTTTATCTTGATTAAAAGTTGTTATTAAAGCTTAATCAAGCCTAGTGATTTTGTTGTGTTTTTGCTCTATAAATCAAGAAGTAACTCGATTATAAGTACTTTTTGTTTAAAAATACTTCATGCAATATATTGCAATATATATCGCAATACATGCTTTCGCATCGCAATATATCGCAATATGAAAATTCTCTGCAATACCCACCCCTAGTACAAAATGACATCATGTTCCTTCAAGCAATATCAGTGAACAAACAGGCTATAAACTTGGTTAATGAAAAATTGATATTTTGAGAGAAATATCACTATACATGATGATTCACCTTTAACTTATTATACTTTCTTAAAATTCATTATTATAATATGAGCTTAGGCCAGACCAATTTTATTTCTTGTTTTATGGATCCACCTGCCGGTTTTTTTCAAGAATAAGAAAAGAAAAAAAATTAATTTTCCCCGCTCAAAAAATAAAATCTTAATGTTTTTATTGGCCAAAAATGTAAATATACAAGAAAGTTTGTATTTGGATTGTTTTTTGCCCCATATAAACTTCATAAATTGCCAGAAGTAAAACACTTTGAGTATTTAGAAGGAATATTACTTTGACTGGTGATTTTATTTTTATTTTTTTTCCCTCCTGCCTTTAGGTTTTCTGAGGACAAAAATCCGTAAAACAAGAAATAAAATTGGTCTGGCCTTATAGAAAAAACAGCCGCTGTGAATGGATTATAGTTTATTTGTTTTTTGTCCATTGTAATTCCTGCATTCCGATTTGCTGAATTGTTATGTGGTGTTGCATTCTTTTGAATGTACAAACTTATGTCACGCCCACTGAAATAGATTTTTTTTCACAGCTATGTATCCTCAAGTTGTGGATTTTGTTGTTTTCTCGCTGATATGCCAATAACACCATCTTGCTTAGATAACTTCTGATCATCAAAATATATATGGTATTGCGAGTATTCCCGAAAAAACATGGATGTCCGAAAATGTATGCAACAGAATGTCCGGGAATCTCAGGTACAGTGGGTGGGATTCCCTTCCTGCTCACCCAGTGTGCCAAATAGTTTCCAAATTTTGCTAGCTAGTCAGGCTAGCTATGCATGAAAGTTACTAGCCCACAAAATAATTCCCTAGCCCAAAATTTGAATGTAGAGTTTCATCATTAAGCTGCTAATATGATTTAAACATTTATCAGGCCATAATCTTGCATGATTCAAAAGTGCATGTAACTTAACAAGTCCGAGAGCATGATATATTTACAAAATGGCCCCATGAAAATTCACAAGCCAGTCTAGCCAGTTACTGTGGAGATTTACAGGCCCGGGTGGATTTTTACTAGCCACGGGCTAGCAGGCCAGTGGCTATAAATTCGCACACTGTGCCCACCTCATCATTGTGTAACATTTTGTCAGTTACTGACGATGTCATTTGAAACACCCGCCTTCTCCCTCAGACGATTTGGTTTATGTTCATGTTCATAACGATCTTTTGTCGCTTGCTTTGATTGGCAGGCCCTAAGAACTTTGTTTCAGTGCTACTCTCTGTTGATTGGCTACTGACTTGACAGTTTGTCAATTCTTGTACATAAATTTATTATCTGATATAAGGTTTGGCTGTGTATATTTTACGGTTCATTGAGGTATGAATAAAAATAACAATGCACTTACTTTTGTATGCACCATTTGTTGAAAATGCACAGCAAATCCGTAAATGAATGATTCCAATGAAAAGGACGTGCTAGAACCTCAATTGGTCATTTTGTTGTGACAAGTTTTCTCAGTATAGTGCTTTTCTGATGAGCCTACAGAACTAGGGAGGTTCAAGTCTGGCTTGTTACAATGATAAAATACAAGTTTTGTTGGTTTCATGGCAATATTTTAGTACCATCACAGAAAGGACAACAATATGCTGATATGAAACCTGGCTCATTTAACCACTCACCACCTTCTTAAGTGTGGGTTGTGATTGTATAACAGTCAAGTGCCACCCCACTCAACGCTAGTAGTAGATGCAAACACACACATGCACTGAACAGCACTCACCTTTGTACCATGCCTACGTACATGCGTTATGCACATGATAAATCTCATCATTATAAAAGTGCATTTATCTTGAACGCGAACTGAATGTTGGGGCGACAGTACAGTTCAAGTCAGTGCTGACGGGTACACATGTGCCCAAATCTCAGCACTGAAGGACTTTGTTACTCAAAGGCTTGGGCTGTCAACAATCCCAGTTATTTGTCCAATATATATCAGTGATAGTTCCAGTGCTGGCTGCTGATTTGTACTTGATTGCTTTCTTCATGTCACTGACACAGGGCAAACATCAAACAGTTGATGACGTAAATGAGGTATTGAAATATGACTGGACAGATATCACAGCTGTCTTGACTTAGGTAAATGTTATACCTCTCCATACTTCCTGATCCACATCTGACCTGAAATGATTGTCCCAGAATATTACTGAAGGCAGCATCAAACTCTTCTCCCTCACTCACTTGTTATTGCCATGCTTGTATCAAACTGGGTTAATGAATGGCAAGGGAGATGACTCTAACCACATCTTTTAATGACATGGCTTAACTGTATGATTTGTCTACAACATTGCAAAGAAAATTGGGTTACATGGATCCTCAGTAAACAAGTATGGTTGGTGTTTCGACTTTATGCTCTCAGTAGAGAAGTATTTGAGGACTTAAAACCTGCTTTTCCTGATATGCTGCCTTTTCTGAAGGGAAACTGTGCAATCAAAAACACACCCAGTGTAATTATTAGGTTTTGATTGCCAACAACACAGTTATCCATTCCTGAACAGAATGGAAAACCTGCTTTCATGCTCATTTTTGCAGAAGTATGCATTAAGCCTTTAAACTCAAGACACAAAACTAACCCAATACATAAATAGCCACAGTTTACTATTTAGAGTTACCTCCCTTAGACATGCCAGAATCCCATATAATGATTGTGGGTTTCGATCCCAGTTAGCTCTGATGGTGTTTTAGGGTTGCAGGCTGACTATGTTATAAATGGTGAAATATGATGCAAAGACAGTGGAATTTTGTGTGAGTTATATATGATCTTGAGCAGGACTTTGACCAGGAAAGTGTTTGTCTCAAGCAATCAGGTCTCAAGAGTCAGCTGATATCAGGTGGGACGAGGTGGTATTTTTCCAACATGGTTGGAAATAACCAGTAATTGGTTTACTGACCCATGGCTGCCCAGACCAATGACCTATCTCCCACAGTTCCCATCGTTTAGTTACAGTGATTGATATCAGGGTAAATATTCACAAACAGCTGACCATCAGCTGGGGGTCTTCCCCTTCAGACATGACCACGATGACAAACAAGCAAAGTAGAACATTATGGCAGATCTATCCCAATTCACTTAATGTTGTTATCATTCTTTACCAATATTGAATTTATTACTTCTTCTTCCCTAATTAGGGGTGGTGGGGTAGCCTAGTGGTTAAAGGGTTTGCTCGTCACACCGAAGGCGAGGGTTCGATTTCCCACATGGGTGCAATGTGTGAAGCCCATTTCTGGTGTCCCCCGCTCATTGCAGCGCAAAACCCAATTCTCTCTCTCTCTCTCTCACTCACTCACTCACTCACTCACTCACTCACTCACTCCTCACTCACTCTTCCCTAGTTAATTGTGCAGTCAATTGTGACAGTTATGTCACACAACACAGTGAGTCTGTCCAAGAATATATCCCGGTATCACAGGTCAATATCGGGCCATAGGTCTAAATGTTGGTAATAGTTCACAAATTAATCATGTTCCAGTTAAATTTACTACGATTTATGCTGATGTTTTTCAGTGAGTGAGTGAGTGAGTTTAGTTTTACGCTGCACTCAGCAATATTCCAGCTATATGACTGCGGTCTGTATATACACTCGAATCAGGACCAGACAATCCAGTGATAAACAGCATGAGCATCAATCTATGCAACTGAGAGGATATGATGACATGTGTCAACCAAGTCAGCAAGCCTGACCTCCCAATCCCAATAGTTGCCTCATATGACAAGCATGGGTTACTGAAGATCAATTCTAACCCTGATCTTCAATTGAGAAATTGTTCAATTTCATATATTACTTTAATTGAGAAATTACAATAGAGAAACAAATTAGACAAATCTGTCATTGACATTTAGTAGTATATACTGAAATCTTTAACAGGATTTAATCTGTGGTATAAACTGTTTCCATGCGAATGAGGTTTGAGTGTACACCTCAGTAGTCTGGAGTTGGTGTTGCTGTTGTTGACAGGTGCTCTCTGAAATAACAAACACATTGTTTACATCCATATCCATCTCTGTGGTGTCATTATCTCCCAGTCAGAGACACAACAAAGAAAGAACCTGCCAACCTAATCCTTGGAAGTTTATGATTATATGGGTGTTTTTAAATAACTTTTGTCTGAATCAGTCAGGGATGGATTGCCAGGTCACACTTACGTGAGTCAGCCCTACACAGTACATTGTCATTAGTTCATGATATAAAGAATAACTGCAGGCTGTAACAGGTCTCTGATGTGCAAAGGTTGTCATGAGAGCCGACTACTTGTGTATCATATGGGAGCAGTGACGTTGCTTATTGTGGGGTGGTTCGTAGGGATGCCACGATACATCGATGCATCAATACTTTTTCTAAGACGATACAATTATCGATACATTCAAAACTGTTTCGATATTTAGTTTTGAAAGTGTATTGTTTACATTTTGCAATTGTATCATTTTTTTGGGTGTTATGAGAGTTACAAATAATTAGTTTTCATGCACAAAGCTTGGAAATTAGAACTTTTTAATCTCTGAGAATAAAAAATGTTGATCTTTTCATGGACAATTATAAAATATGAAATATTAATGCTAAAAATGCAATAACGCCGCGAAAATAGGTATCCCAGTTTTGTCTTTTTATCCCCAAAATCAGTAGTTTCCAGAGGATGTGATTTAGCGAGATATTGCTGACAGTGGCATAAAACTACATTCACTCTCCTACTAGCAGTAAACTAATATGTTCATACCAGATTAGAAATCATCCCAGTATCAGTGCATGAAATAAGCCAAAAATCCAGCCAGACATCGGGGCTGGTAACTACCAAATGTTACCAGACAAAACTTAGATTTAACCAGACCAGACAATCTAAAGAAAATAACTCAATTTTTAGTTATTGTTTAGTCGCTGTTTAGTGATAATAATAATAATGGATATTTTTAGCGCACCATTTTCCACCCACATATAATATCAACCACCATGCATTCTGTCAGTATAACAACCCAGTCTCTTGTCCCTTGTCATTGTTTTGCTGGGACATTGATTGCTTCAACCCTGTACTCACAGTCTCTCCACTGTTTCCTGGTACAGGAAGCGCCAGTGTTCATTAAGTCCTCCACATTGACTTCAATGTATTCTGCATGTCAGCCAAAGACATGATGTACATTTACGGTCTACTTTTAGCATTTCATGTTTCATCCATTGAACTGCGCAGGGTTAGTATGTTGTTGCCTTTCCCTGCACTATTCTGTAGATAATGATGATACTATCTGTGAATCCAGTGACTGAAATCATGGACATCTGTCTATGCAATTGGGATACAATGCCATGCACGACCCAAGTCAGCTACCCGAGCCCGTCATACCAAAAGACGTTAAAATATGGTACTTGTTGGTCCCTGCCTGGCGCTCGGCATTAATGGGTACAACAAGGACTGGTTGGCTCGGAGTCAGTATAATGTGTCTGAGTGGGGTATTCATGCTTCACTGCGGCATGGTATCTCAGTGGGCTAGCACTTTAAAACAAGCTTCAGTCTGGGCTAGTACAAGCAGCCGCGCATACACATACACACGCATGCACGTTGTCATATGAGCGAAATATTCTCAAGCACGACGATAAACCCAATTTCACCTCACCTCACCAAGTCAGCTAGCCTATGTTCCCAATATCATTAGTAGCCTCTTACAAGTGTGGGTTGCTGAATTAACTTGAATTAACTGATTTCTACCTCATAACTAAGGTGTTGATATTATCCTTGGGAACAATGACATAAAGCAGCTGTGATGACAGCTTTGTGACTGTATTTCATGATTTGATGACAGCTTTGTGACTGTATTTCATGATTTGATGACAGCTTTGTGACTGTATTTCATGATTTGATGACAGCAGCTTTGTGACTGTATTTCATGATTTGATGACAGCTTTGTGACTGTATTTCATGATTTGATGACAGCTTTGTGACTGTATTTCATGATTTGATGACAGCTTTGTGACTGTATTTCATGATTTGATGACAGCAGCTTTGTGACTGTATTTCATGATTTGATGACAGCTTTGTGACTGTATTTCATGATTTGATGACAGCTTTGTGACTGTATTTCATGATTTGATGACAGCAGCTTTGTGACTGTATTTCATGATTTGATGACAGCTTTGTGACTGTATTTCATGATTTGATGACAGCTTTGTGACTGTATTTCATGATTTGATGACAGACAGTAAGGACAAATAATGGATGTTTGATATCTGAGACACAAGAAAGTGAGATGCACGATTTAGTCTCTTTTGTTCCTTCACAGTTTTTGCTTTTGCATGTTTTTCAACTTTGAAATCATAAATGTTTCTTATTGTGACTACAGACTTGACTTCCATCCTTTGTGTTTAACATGGTCATCACTAGGTCGGAATCCAAACTTAAACTCACACAACTGCTATATATAACACAGTGTTCAGGAGTGAATGAGTGAGTTTAGTTTACGCGGGCGCGGTGGGCGAGCTGGCTAAGGCGCCAGGCTAGTGATCCAGCGAGCTTGAGGTGTCGGGATCGAGCCCACCTCTGACCGGGTATAAAAACCTTGGAGTCAACTTTGTGTGCAGACTCTTTCAGTATTGTCACAACCCCTAGTGTACAGTACACAACCCTGTGCACTTAAAAGAACCCAGGAATCCGTTGGTATATGACCAGATGGTGGCCACGGTGACATGAATACGTGCAAACACCTAGTTGCGGGTACAGCAACGTGTAGTGAACTTAGACAAAATACTGTGACTATGTGTCCCAGTCCACCCAGCTGTGAATGGGTACCTCGTTAGGATGAGAAAGCCACAATAACTCGGTGTGCCTAGTGGCTGCAAGAGTTGTATACTCCCCAGGGAGTTGAGATTGATAATACGATGTGCCGTTGAGATTGACATCCAATGATCGAGGGAAAAAATACCAGCGCCTTGAGCATGCACTAGTTGCCTGGATGTGTGCGCTATATAAATATCCTATAATAATAATAATAGTTTTACACAGCTTTTAGTAATATTCCATCTACATTGAGGCCGGGGACACCAGAAATGGGCTTCACACATTGCACCCATGTGGGGAAGCGAACCCAGGTCTTCGGCATAATGAGCAAACACTTTAACCACAAGGCTAAACCACTAGGCTAACCCACCCCCCTGAATAGTGGTCAGGGGTTTCAAGGCACAGGAGAATTCCTTGTACAGTTATTAAATCTAGGGATCCACCGTGTCTGCAATTCACCAGGTTAGCATGTGGTTTGACTTCTTGGTTGGCATTCTTCATGTTCAGGACACTGCTGTTCACAATTACTCTGAACACTCAAAAATAGATCAGGATAAGATTCCCTACAAGTTTCATTTCACTACAGGTTTCTCCGAAGTATCAATAAAGCACTTGTTTATGATACTTAGGGCTGATGGAGGAGTCAGGCCATGATAGCCGCTGCCCAGAAATGGCTGCCTCCTGGTCATAGGGTGTCCGAGCCATGGTACCTGGAGGAACTGACTGTTAGAGCCAGGGTGGAGCCCACATTGTTGTCCCATGGCTGGATGGTTTGTTTATGTTGCTTATTAAACACTTCCATGTGTTGACCTCTCAATGACATGGTAATTGAAGGGTATGCTTCATGTGAAGGCCGGGTAAACAGGGGTCACTGGCCAGGGTAAGATAGAACCAGAAGGGCGGGGTATATACTAACAAACAAGGGGTGTTAGTTGGGCCAGGGTAAGATAGAACCAGAAGGGTGGGGTAAAACTAACAAACAAGGGGTGTTAGTTGGGCCAGGGTAAGATAGAACCAGAAGGGTGGGGTATATACTAACAAACAAGGGGTGTTAGTATGGGTAGGGTAAGATAGAACCGAAAAGGGTGGGGTATATACTAACAAACAAGGGGTGTTAGTAGGGCCAGGGTAAGATTGAACTGAAAGGCGGGGTATATACTAACAAACAAGGGGTGTTAGTATGGGTAGGGTAAGATAGAACCGAAAAGGGCGGGGTATATACTAACAAACAAGGGTACCAGGTGTTGAAAAAGCCATGGGTAGATACTAACAAACAAGGGGTGTTAGTATGGGTAGGGTAAGATAGAACCAGAAGGGCGGGTATATACTAACAAACAAGGGGTGTTAGTATGGGTAGGAGTAAGATAGAACTGAAAGGACAGGGTGCAAGGGTGTTATATACTAACAAACAAGGGGTGTTAGTATGGGTAGGGCAATTTTCGTAAGATAGAACTGAAAAGGTGCAGTGGGGTATATACTAACAAACAAGGGGTGTTAGTAGGGCCCAGGGTAAGATAGAACCATCAGAAGGGTGGGGTATATACTAACAAACAAGGGGTGTTAGTATGGGTTAGGACTGTTAGATAGAACTGAAAAGGCTGTATTATTTCTTTCCGAATTAGGGGTATATACTAACAAACAAGGGGGATGTTAGTAGGGCCAGGGCGAAGATAGAACCAGAAAGGGATGGGTGTATATAACAAACAAACAAAGGGTTTTAGCTTGAAAAGCGTAATGTTAGTACAAACAAGGGGTGTTAGTAGGGCCAGGGTAAGATAGAACCAGAAGGGCGGGGTATATACTAACAAACAAGGGGTGTTAGTATGGGTAGCGTAAGATAGAACCAGAAGGGCGGGGTATATACTAACAAACAAGGGGTGTTAGTATGGGTAGGCGTAAGATAGAACCAAAGGGCTGGGGTATATACTAACAAACAAGGGGTGTTAGTATGGGGCCAGGGTAAGATAGAACTGAAAAGGGTGGGGTATATACTAACAAACAAGGGGTGTTAGTATGGGTAGCGTAAGATAGAACCAGAAGGGCGGGGTATATACTAACAAACAAGGGGTGTTAGTAGGGTCAGGGTAAGATTGAACTGAAAGGGCGGGGTATATACTAACAAACAAGGGGTGTTAGTATGGGTAGCGTAAGAGAGAAAAGAAAAGGGTGGGGTATATACTAACAAACAAGGGGTGTTAGTATGGGCCAGGGTATAGATAGAACCAGAAAAGGGCGGGGGTATATACTAACAAACAAGGGGTGTTAGTAGGGCCAGGGTAAGATAGAACCAGAAGGGTGGGGTATAACAAACAAACAAGGGGTGTTAGTAGGGCCAGGGTAAGATAGAACCAGAAGGGTGGGGTATAACAAACAAACAAGGGGTGTTAGTAGGGGCCAGGGTAAGATAGAACCAGAAGGGTGGGGTATAACTAACAAACAAGGGGTGTTAGTAGGGGCCAGGGTAAGATAGAACTAAGACTGAAAAAGGAAGGTATATATACTAACAAACAAGGGGTGTTAGTATGGGTAGGGTAAGATAGAACCAGAAGGGTGGGGTATATACTAACAAACAAGGGGTGTTAGTAGGGCCAGGGTAAGATAGAACCAAAAGGGCGGGGTATATACTAACAAACAAGGGGTGTTAGTAGGGCCAGGGTAAGATAGAACCAGAAGGGCGGGGTATATACTAACAAACAAGGGGTGTTAGTAGGGCCAGGGTAAGATAGAACCAGAAGGGTGGGGTATATACTAACAAACAAGGGGTGTTAGTATGGGTAGCGTAAGATAGAACCAGAAGGGCGGGGTAT